AACTTCAACAATACTGCAGTTGTGGGAAATAGCCTAACCTGGATTATTTTACTCAAGTACTTTTCTTGAGTATGATTTTGAAGCACTTCACTTTTTTTTTTCTTTATACTTCTTCTTCAGTATGAAACTTTACGTTAATGTCACTCATATTCTTATAAAATAAAACAATCTAGCAACCTCTGGTTTTGGCGCTTCGCCATGTTTTAGATGTCTATAGGTAAATGGCATTTCCATCCAATGCAAATGTTCCTTTTGCGAATAAACTAATCTGAGTTGAAACACCAAATGTAGCCTCATGACTCCTAAAACCTTTTGAAAGGGCCTGATCCTCAGGCTTGGAACTTCTACTAAATCACCTGTATATTCAAGTAGTGAAATCTGCTTTACCTCAAATTTACCTTCAATATAAACCTAATAAATGACCCTAGCTTGTTCTTGAAGAACCATTTCTTTAGACCAATATATTTAGATGTTCTACCTTAATTACACGATCTCAGTAGTAACTCCACTGCTACTGTATTAACCTAACACTGTAACTAAAACATGACATACTCTGTACTAAAGAACAATCAAGGTGTTTTTTTTTCCATTGTATGTATATGCTTTCTCATGGTATGCTTTTACTAGTTTATTTTTCAATCAACAGCGATTAAGTGATGGATTGACCTTAGAATTCCTTTGTTTACGTAGGTGTGGTTCATTTCCCACCATTCAGCAAAGTGTTTGGTGACAGGGGACAGCGACTCATTGTTCCTGCATGGAGAAACAAAGCGTAATGTGAGAATTCAAGGAGATACTGCTTTCAAACCATATTACAATATCAGACAACAAATGATCTCCATAATGTTGTTCTGAAAACATATGCATCGTGATTTTTCCCACGATGACCCCGTTTTGCCCAGCTGTCCCCAGTCTTGAGAGTTATGCAACAATGTATGCATTGTTCATCAGGCATAGTCTGACCAAGCAGGCACACAATTATGCTTCATTCATTCAAATGTAAGGTAAAAAGTGAGGTTGCAAGACACCCAGGAGGCTGTATCACAGTCAACAATGAGAGTAAATTATGAATAAAGTCATGTGGAGGCAGTAGGAATGGTAAAAAGCTCAAAGCTAGAAACTGTGGCAAAGACTTAAAACCTTTGTGATATTATTTGGCTGCAGTTTGTTAATACAGTAGTCAATGCTGTACGAAGTTGATCCATCTGCCATTTCATTGCAGAAGAATAAATGGCTACAATTTGATTATGGATTAATTGTTTAAACTATTTATTTGGTGCTCAAATGTGAGAATTGTTGGCATCCGTCCTTTCTTTATGGTCTTATTGTAAACAATGTACATTTGTGGGTTTTGGGATACTGCTGGAACACACTTTAAACATGATTTGAGCTCTGGGAAATTGTGATGGACAATCAAACAATGATTGTTAGTCACAGCTAAATCTCTAAGTTTACTTCTATGTAGGCCCAATTATTTTCACCTTATTTCTTATAGTCACATTGAGAAACAACCCCATTGAAAATAAAGGGCAGACTAACGTTACCACAGTTCAGAAAACAACACACAAAATGACATGAGATAAAATGTATTAATAAAGACAAGTGGCGTTGTGGGGCCTTGACTTTTTAGGTTCTAAATAACATTACTTTGTCATATTGTTCCCGTTCAAGTTAATACTTAAGGAAGCTATTTTTTAACCAGTCTATTCAAATAGCTTGTTGTGACTCTAATTTGACTGAAGACTGAATGTTTTTGGGTATGGTGTGTTTATAGAGACATGTTTTGTAAATAATTGTTATAGATTAAGTTGTGCATAACATGAACAGAACAAATAAAAATGAAATGAAATAAGGATGAGGAAATTAAATTGTATTTCACCTCAAATTGACCGGACCCTGACCACAGGACATTGACGAAACGGCAACACCTGTTGTGCCCAATCCGTAAGACATCCTGTGCAGATAGGGTGTTTCGAGGTTTGCACATCCTTTCAAGGGTATTGTTTTCCACAGTTGCTCAATATCCTAAAGGCGGTAAAATATTGTTAAAATTGTCAGTAAGTAAGAAAGTAACCAGCATGCTGCCAAACTCTCTGATTTTCCCATAAACAACAACATTTCCTGTGTAATATATCAGTTTCCCCCAATTGTACGTATTCTGAGTAGAAAGTCTCTGGAGGGAAATTAATATGGTCTTTGTTTTTGTATTATTGTGCTTGTGTGGAATAAATAAACAACATCAATGAACGCATATCTTTGAACAAATATACAACATTAGCTGAAATAGTGCATCCAAACGCTTGAAGAAGAGTTTTGTGTTAGTATATTAATTATAAAAAAAAGGGATTGGTTTTAAATTGTACACATTTTATTAATTAAACATCAGAATTTAGCATGTGTTAGTAGACCCACTCCCCCACATCTCTCACATATTTTCCCAAATGGGCAGAGCTTTCCCCAGTCACGCCATCATGGTGCAACCAGTAAGAGAGCTGTTTGGAGACAATTACTCAGTACACAGATATCAAATTGCAATGCTTATAAATCAGAATGTACACAAAGGAAATCCTTGTGAAGAGGAAAGGAAAGTATGATAGGTACAAATCGGGAGTATAACAGTCAATCTATCAACGGATCAGCACATTGCGTGCATGCAGGGAGCACATTACTGCGTGTACGTTTGGGCTTATACAAACAGGATTACATTCCTAATATCGCAAGGACTGCAGATATTTCCCGATTTCTCAGAAGGCCGGTCGGTTAAATATAGGGTTAAATATAGGGTTAAAAATAGGGTTAAAAATACTGAATAACCTGCATCAGAGTTGTGAGCGAAAACCTTATTTTAAGTAATGTTGAGAGCCGGCATAACCTCGCAGTTTAACATTTAGGACAAGGTTTAAACAAATAATACATGGTTGTCCAAACTAAAGACATTTTAAGTTGACTAAAACTCAAACAATTTTGTCAAATATTTGATCTGTGAAACAATGTTCTTCACAAAGAATCATGCCAGATTGTCACTTCAAATCTTGTACAATGAACTAAAGAAATCTAGGACTAAGACTCAAAAGACCAAATAGATGAACAATCAACAAGGGGTAGCAGCCCTAGGTTAAATAGAGTTATCTCCAAATGTGGCTAGTTTTAAAGTTTTAAAAACAGAAGGAGAATAGCTAAATAGTCAGCAGACCAGAAAGGAGAAGGAAAAGCCTGGCGTGACACTTGGCCTTTGCAGGTCACTATATGTCACCCAGACTAGTTGAGGTATGTGGGAGAAAGCTGTTAAAACACTTTGTTTGGAGTCACATGATTGAAGCTCCATCCTCAATATAAAGTAGGAAATTCCTCAGGGAAATGGCGCCACACTGACGTAACACTGTTTTGCCTATGCATTCGTAGGTCTGCTTTGTTGCTGCTGCATCATGTCAGCAGCTCAGAGCGACCCTGTGACAGCACGAGGAATCTATAGGCAAGAGGAAGAAACTCTACGTCTGGAGTGATAAACAATCCCATTCACAGCCAACAGAAGCTTGACATAGATCTTATTGGAAGCTGGCACAGAAATACCAACATACTGTTTGGTAAATGTTCATGCTTGCTTTGTGACCAACTACAAATCACATATACTGCCCTTTAATCAGCTGATGGCTTGTTTTTTGGGGCTTTTCAAAAGCATGACAAATTGTGTATAAAAAAAGTTCTTTCAAAACAGTTTATAAACTAGGAAGAACTCAACAAATGCTACTGCTATTACAATTCCTTGATAACATGATTTTGTAAGCTTTATGCAAAGTGTATTACTCAGTTTACATGGAACTTCTCAAATTCGTCAAATCTCAAATGTGTATTCAAATGTCACTGTTTTATGCCTGCACTCAAACTGGCTTTGTCACTGGCTAACAAATGATCTGAAACCGCGCAGTTCACTGACTGCATTGAAACTGTTTACCACGTTAGTTTGTTGGTATAAATAGCAAATCAGCTTTGCGGAGAGGAAACACTATTCTCTCTGTCCCAGCAGTGTTTTCCCTGGTGTTGGAACAGCAGGAGAGTCCGGGGATCTGAACTCAGGCTAATTAGCTAATTCATCGGCCCTGTAGGGAAGGACATGTGATTAAATCCAGTCAACAACAATCACTTTTCTATGCTGGAGAAGTTGTTATGAATTTCTTCATAATCTTTGCAATTTCACACAATTATAGTAAACTCAGTGGTTCTATCTGCTATGTAAGAAACAGTTCACAGTGAGAATGTTTAATGTAATTAATAGTACACAGAGTTAGTGAAATATAACTAAGGGCATTGGTTATATAAGTACAGTGTACTTTAGTTTACATTTTGCTGTACTTGAGAAGAGGCACATATTTTACTTACCATTTGGCTACAGACTGATAATACTTGCAAATTGTAATAGGCTACATGTTGATTCTTGTATTCAAGCTAAGCAGGCTTTAATAACACTTTTATTTAAGTAGTGGATTTCTGAATTTAATAGTGTTTTAAAGAGTGACTGATGGTAGCATGGTGCTGTGGTTCAGGCTGGAATTAACTAAACTGCATATGATTTAACAAGGAGAGCCCCCTAGTGCTCAGATACGTTAACAATGAGGAATTTTGATGTATTTGTTTATTATAACTTTTATAAATGCTCCAGGCTTGTGCACTCATACTGTAGGCTAAAATTAAGTAGCAGCTAACTATGTAGCCCAATAGAGGCCACCTGTCACATGACAACAGCTGTAACCACATTGTTAAACGCCACTAATATCACCACTCATACTTACTAATGTTTAAGTCTGCACACGGGCTACAAGTAAATCAGTTTACGGTTAATGTATATTCCTTTAAGAGGATATGTTAGATATTACTTCGATTATAAACACATACCTGGAAAGACTGCATTTACTTAACTGTGAAACGATTATGAACTGAAGAAATACAACAACTACCATACCCGTAGGCTCTTTCCCGCAGTTGTTGCCATAGTTACCACGTACCAAGCGAAACACTCGGAACAAGTCAGAAAACATTATTTTGTATTTTGAAGCCTTTGTCCTTTATTCATCCATCTATGATCTATGACAACTCCAAGGAGTGATGGAAACAGAACGCACGCGGCCAATGTTCCCATGGTGAGTTACATTTAATGTATTTGTTTTACCAGAGTAGTCACTACTACATTTTGGCTGAAGAATATTCAGCAGTCGTTTAAGTAAACGTCCTGTACTCAAAATGTAACTCATGTAAAGTATTAAAGTATAACTGTATACACATCAAAATGCAAGTTAAATCCTGCTTAACAACCCATTTAAGAAAATAATATATTATTGGATTGGTATTATTATTATTGATGGATTCATGTGTTCAGCACTTTAAAAAGTACATTCTAAAGAAAAAAGTTAAGAAAATAACCTCAAAATTACATTTCAGTTATAGTAATGTTGAAACTGCATAGCATATCAGCTTTAAAGATATGTAGGTATCTCTGTGTCTTTATTACTTTACTGTTCAGTGTGTTTATATAACAATGTGATGGAGAACAGTTATAGCTATCTGTTTGCTCACCCTAACTGAACCAAAAATAAGGATGGACGAAAAGATTGCAATGAGGGGAGGGGAGAAATACTTCAAATTCAAAGGAGGAGGCAAAGGGAGAGGCAGAAACAGATGAGACACATTTATCACAGTATAAATCTGCAGGCAAGTGAAGACTGCTGGTTAAAAGGATCACTGAACAGCTGTGTGTGTTCATGTCAACGGGCAGACTGATGTATTCCTCTACAGTATAAAGTTCTTTAGAAATAATTTGAGTGTTTTGCATGATCAATCCACAATCTATTTTGTACAATTGTGTACTCTTTTACTGCTGTCCAAAACATAAGCTGAAGTTCTGTATAATATCTGTGGTATGATAAAAAACCTCAAACTTCAGAAAATAAATCTGAAAACACATTTCTTCACAAACTGGTGAGAACAGGTAAAAGGGAATTACATAACTATTGCTTTCTTTCAGGATAAAACTAACACGTGACCTGAGTTAAAACTGTCCTGTGAAACTACAACATATAATATCTGTAAGAACTACAGTAGTCTTCTCTGTACAAGTTAACAAAGATTAACATTAAATCTGTGTTTGAGGTTCTATGCATCTATTGGATCCTGACAGAATAGATCCAATGAATGAAACAACATGAAGAGATGACACGTCCAAGTAGCCTTGCTATCAGGCCCTCGATAGAGGATATACATTGTCTTATCTTCTTCTCTTCTGTAAGAGATGCAACTCAGTGAATGATCATCAGTCAAGTCCTGGCTGGGTGTCCAACTGGCCAAACATGAAGGAGGATATAAAAAGACAGCTCACAGAGCACTTCCTGCTCAAACAAGGAAAAATGATATGCTCAATGCAAAGTAAAACAAAAAACTCTTTCAGAATCTTCTGAGGTGCAGTCAGATATGTTTGTTCCTTTGTTTGATCCATTATGTTCATTTGAACAGAAATTACAACTGTGATGATAAGCAGCAACTCATAATCTTACTGTGTGAATATGTTCATTAAGAAATCAATAGTCAACTCCAAATTTGTTTTCAACTTGTATTCTATCCAAGTGGTTTCAACTGATATGTATTTTTTTTAAACTGCTCTATAAGATTAATACAGTCCTTAACTTTTTGTGAATCCTTAGGTACAAGGAGAGGTTGGAGACCAAGTATCTTAAAGCCCCAGCAAACAAGATTTCCTTGGTCGGCAGTTGTTGCCGTTTTGCCAACATGAGACTCGATGACTTCAGTGAGTGCTCGTCAGATTTATCCAGGAACCAGAGAGCTGTCTCATCGGTTATTTTCCAGCGTGACACTTCAAACCACAACTCCAGTCAAAAGCATATAAAAGGCCTCTCTAAAGAACACACTTGCTTTTCAAAGCAGATGATCCAAAAACAGATTCGCAGAGATTATGTGGCTGCTGTGGAGGAGAAACTCAAACAGCATCCTTTGGCTATGTTCCCGCACTATAGAGATCACATGACCCCAGAGGTGAGTGGACACAACATCAGTCTGGACTACCAACCTGTTTGTCACAATCTGTCTGTGTTTTATTTTGTCCCGTCTAGATCTGTCTTTGTTTTCCTGTTTTAGTTTGAAAAGTGTTCACCCCCCGTCTTGTCTGTTGCTTCCTGTCTCTTTGTTCCCTCCTGCTTGATTACCTGACACTGTTATGTATCAGCACAAGGAGGCTTGTGCTAAAAGTGCTCAAACATACAGGGTATCTTCATCTCTCTCCAGTTATTCGATAAGGTGGTATCCGTTTTGGACCCAGACATAGGCGAATACAGTGCCTCTGCACTTCCTACGCCTACAGAAGACCATGCGGAGGACGAAGGTGAAGAAAGCTGTACAGTGCCAAGGAAGGATGAAGGGAAAAGAGTAAAACAGGGAGCTTCTGCTGATACAATGCAAGTATTATTTGATTCATGGTATCAGTATCATCTTAATTATTTTGATAAATGAACTGGAAAAGAAACAACTGTACGCTATAATAAGGCTACACTCTATGCTATAATAAGGCTACACATGTCAATCATTTTAAAGCAGCCCTGATGTCCAACATGAAAGTCACAGAAACCCTTATATGCTACAAATGAATGGGAATGGTTCCAAGAAAGGCCGGACGGGCAAACTATATCAACTCAGCAAACACAAGGACATGAAAGCAGCCGCCACCATATTCAGCAGATGGTTTGCCTCTCCCGTAAGTCTCCACAGACACTACAGTACCTAAGGAAAAGATAACATCAATCGTACTGTTTTATCAGACCTTACACAAGAACCAGTATATTGTTAAAGAAATGATAAAATACACTTTCACTTTTGCAGGATGAAGAGACCAATATTACTGAATCTGCAGTACACTGAGCCACTGCTTCACCACGATTCCCTGTTCAAGCGGAGGGCAGCAACAATTACTAAGGTCAAGAATGACATTCTGTCCAGGCCACAGAGGGGACATGTTTAAAGCAGCAGAGCCAAACAGAGAACACAAACGGTAAAGTTAAGAAAATCTTAGAAACCCACAACGTCGGAAATACCCCCCCACTGCAGTTTAAGTTCCTTCCATCAGGATCCAAACATTAGCCAATACGAGCAGATACACATTCTCTATCAAACCATTTTTTAAAGTGCGGGTAGCATCAGCACATCTCCAACCATGCTTGTTTCCCCTTCCTTTCTTTCTTTTTTGCTAAATGTTGTTCTTTCCTTTATTCACCTTTTACTCTTGTAATCATAATCTGACTGTGAATGTCCTTTTGATCTTTATCTGTTTGTTTCCCTGTCTTTATTGCTACGGCGGCAGAGCCAATAATCCCTCAGGGACAATAAAGGATTTGAACACGAACAAAGAGTAGCAAAATATTATTTCTAAATCGCTTCTGATTTAGAAGATGTACAGTGAAGACCCTGTTGGGTCCAGACACAGGAAGCGATGTGGAACAGTTGGTTTGTTGACAGAATGAGGACCAGAAACAGATGTATGTAACCTTAGCTGTGAGGAGTTACGTAATGCACAATGGACCAAGGCTAAAAGGCAAGACTTTACATTTAAAGGAGGGGTTTCTGTGTATGGAGTGTTCAAACCACAGACATGCTCTTCAAAACCACACTGTAAAAAAGGAGCAAAAGAAGAAGTGTGTCAGTGCTCAAGGAAACCACTTCTGCTTGTGTCAGTGGAGGTTTTATGTTTAACGGGTGACTAAAATGATCTTGAACAGCCAATATGCACTCAGTGGACACTTCATTAGGAACACCTGCAGCTAGGGCATAAATCCTGCCTTGACAAATTTGATCATGTTCAGTTTGTCGACATTATCATATCATATATTTTGACCATTATGTATTTATTATTGAGGTCCTATATTCAATTGCATTGTATTGTTCTGTGTTTCTAATTGTCAGCCCACTCCTGTAGCAAAGACCCAACACGTCTCAATACGATTTAGTCCAGTCTAACACCACCTTTAACTTAATGTTAAAACATATAATAAACATTTATCATAAAACTAGACATACACATCAATTGTAAAATCAAATCAAACTTTATTTCAGCAATAAATTAGAAAAAACACCTGAGTGAATCTTTTGACAACTTCATCTAGGGAGCCTTAAAAAAAAAAGCAGTACAAGGGGAGCTCCCTGAAAGACAAAACATTTGAATTTAATTAATTCTGAGAATTGTGAATACAGAGGTTTTTGATCAAACAACATTAACACAATTGTATGAAATGTTTGTGAGGCGCTGAAGGACAGGTGTAACAATGTAATGTGAATTTTTTTTGAATTACTATAGTTGATCCAATATCAGAGAATGTCTCTGTGTCCTATAATTAATTTTTGATCCATTGTATTCAAATAATTGACTTTTGTGTCATTGTTGTTCAGTAACGCAGTGTTTTTCAACTCACTGTTTTTGCTTTCTTTTGACCACCACCCATATTACTCTCTTCATCTAGGTTATCATTTTGTAGAGGGCCCAGTTCGGAGTCTTTTTCCTTTTCAAATATTTATCCATCGCTGCACGTCTTGTCACGGACACCTCTCGTGCGCATCACTACATCTCTTGTCTTAAATTAACAAGGTAATTATTGCTCTACTGCCACTCACTGGGCAGGTCAGTGCATGGAAGAGTATTTCATTACTTCGCTAGTCACTACATTGCAGGAACACACGCACAACCATGGCAAATTATTAGCAGTAACTAAATCATATTTATATAATATATATAAGTTGGATAATTTCCCACGGCACACCTGACGATCTCTCACGGCACAGTGGTTGAAAATCACTGCAGTAATGATACAGTATGTGGAAGAATTTCCGAACGACACAGTCAGTAAATATATGATTCACATTATTAGCAACTCACTGATAAGAGCCTGAGGGCCGATGTGAACAGTCTATGGTTGTCACTGTCAGCTGTTCGGGTCAGAGGTCAGCAGAGTGTGGACGGGCGACCTGCGGCCCAGTGAGAGCAGCTGTGGGAAGGAAGAGTACCTCGCTGCAGACGCTGTGTTTCCAATGACATAAAGAAGAGAAAAGCAGGAAATAACAAGAGTATTTGTACGACATCAATTATTTAAAAATATTTGCAGGTTATTTTCCTGTTTATTGACTAATCATTTGATTACGTTTTATGGCAGAGGAACACTGTATAGAATAGATGAAGCGTACACTGACATATATTTTAGAAAACCTTGATTTGCATGAAAATTACAAGGTAGTAGACCAAAACTCACTCTCCTTGAAGGATTTGTTGTTGATTTTTTTCCCGTTGAGCTCAGCTGCATTCAGGAAAAGTGGCTCGCTGTACACAGTAAATGCACAAACAGACACACATTACATCACATTACACAGCCTGTAGCACTTTGTGGTGCTTTGCATGTTGCATGAGGTCACGTGGGAAGATGGTGTGAGCTTCTCTTATCCTCAAGACAAGTCGTAATCATGACATATAAACAAAAAAGACGACCCTGAGGTGGTAAGGTTTGGGTGCGCTCTCTACCTGCCGCAGGTTTTTCTTCTCAATCTTGAGCCGACCTTTACTTCTTCCTCCTTGTCAATGTTGCTGTGGGTGCAGAAGAATAATTAAGTATAAGTAAGACACATTCCAGGAGTCCACAACATATCTTATTATCATATCAAATTAAGTTTTAACTATACTACGTCAGAGGTATACGTTTTTATCTTGTCCACGATTAAGCTTATTTGGAGAGCAGTAGGCCATTAAGTCCCAATGGTTGTGGACCCGAAATACGATTTCTCTTTAATCTTTTAGTACCTAAGAAATATCCTAATAGGTCTCAGTAGAAGCAACACATACCTCTGGAAGACTTTCTCTCTACAAATAAAGAAAAACAATTACAAACCCTCCATCTATCCTCCTCCTTATCAACACAATCAACTCTATAGCTCAATGGAGAAAAATGAATTCCACTTCTTCCAAAAGAATAAGGAGATACATAATGGGAAAATGGGATTGTTCTAATCGTTTGAACACAACTCTTTCTCTTCTTTTTTCAAAACTTTTTTGTATTCATCATGATCGGTGCCTTTTTTTCCTTTAAATTCATTAATTGTTAATTGTGCGGTAATGTAAAAAAAACTAGACAGGGTCAACAGCCTGTATGATCTACAGTAGTACAGTAAAAGCCGTGAAAGTGTGGGTAACGAATCCACTCAAGTATACAGCCCCCCTCCTCCTCAACTCTAAATGACTTCCTGTTCACTTAGTAGCATCACATGATTTTCAGATGTGACCTAAGCTAGCCTAAGAACCAAGCTAATCCTTGCAGTGTGGGAACGGAGCCAGGCGTACAATGTGGTTCTGTGCACTTTCTCCGGCGCAGACCTCCTCCTGTTATCGGTGTGTGGTCTGTGCTTCCCTGAAACCGCTCCTCGAAGCCCTCTAACCAGAGACCTGAGCTCTGGGGAGGGGCTTTCCTGCTGGAGGACAGAAAGACAATGTCAACCCAGTGCAGTTGTGATGTCTATATTACAAAAAGCTGGTCTGATAAGCTTGTATTTCAAACAGAGGAAACAGCGGATAAAGCATTTCTGTGACAATTAGCAAGAAGTTCATTTATTCTGAAGTCAGTAGTAACATATAAAACTGCAACCCTATGACAGTTTAGGACAAAACCACAAATACTAATAGGTGCTTTTTTTTAGATTATTAATATTGAGGTTTTATTGCCTGGCCACAGGAATGTGATGGTGTGCATGTTTTTGATTTAAAGGTTGAGCAGATGTGCTGAGCTTGTGTCTGTGCAGCCAAATAAACAATGAGTCACACATTCACTTGATGGGCTGGAACAGTTCGGGATAGGCAGGCAAGATATAAGAAGTTCCTGAGTGTACCGTGATCTGGGCGTTGGAGGCATGCTGGGAGCAGGGTGAAGCAGGGAGTGCAGATGGGGAGTCCAGGACAGGTGGATGTACATTCAGAGCTGTGTTTTGACCTTGGAGCTCCTATTGAAAAGATAACATTGGTTATAAGGAGCTCAGATGTAATGAAGCTCTTAGAGTAAGTCTGATTAGGTCAAACAGATTGTTGTGCTTTTATTTAGGTCTTAATGTGTGTATATGTATAAATGTGTCTTTGATTGTTTGTGTGTATATATATATATATATATATATATATATATATATATATATATATATATATATATATATATAGGTATATACATATTTGCATAGTGCATACATATTTTTATATATATTTGTTTTTGTATTCAGGATTGTGGGAAACGGTATTTCGATCTCTCTGTCTGTACCATAGGGTCTGTACACACAAACTGAAAGATTGACAATAAGGTTGACTTTGACATGTATGATGAAAAGAAAACAGCACAACATTCGATAAAAGTATGCTTTTTACAAATATAGACATACTTTGTATAAGTGGAAATGCCCTACTCCTTCTCACAAAAAGACATTTGTCTGTAAACAGCCCTACCTTCAAGTCCAGGGCATGTCGGAGTTTCAGACGGAAATAGTCCTGCTCCTGCAGCTGGATGAAATCTTGACAGTCTGCAAAGCTTTCTGACAACTTCGGAAGGATATAGAGCACATGTAACAGTGATGGTCACAAACAGAGCCAGAACAGGACAGATAAGGTTCTTTATTTACCCGATAACACAAACTAACATTTCGTTTTTGTTCCAGTTTAAAATGATAACTGTGACAAACATCGATAGTTAAAAAAAGTTCTTCAGATTGTGTCATATTATTATTAAGCTGGTTATCAGCCCATTTTAAAACCTTCTATAACAAATATTTGAGTATTGTATGCTTTAAGTAAATAGCGGACAGTAAATAGGTGATAGTAAATTAGTGGAAAATAGGGTGGGGAATTGAATGCAAGAAAACTCAACTAAGTATGTTTTAGCTACTTATCTGCACTTAGAACTGGAAGCCACAAACAGATCTTTGTTGAAGAATATCACATGCGTAATTCTCACCTGTAACTTTCAACATGTATTTCAGGTGTGTGTGTAACCATCCTATCACAGCAGATGATTTGGTGGTAATGTAATCACAAAGGGAAAGTGTAGATGAGCCCCACCTTGGTAAGGATGGCCTCCAGCTGGCCGATCCGCTCCCTCAGCTGGTTATCTTTGGAGCGAAGGGCCTCCTGCTCAATGCCAAGTTGTTTCTTCTCCTCCCTGACGAAGGTTAGCTCCTGGAGCTGCCGCTGGTTCTCCAGGCTCTGGTAGCGCTTCTCCTGGACACGATTGGGAGGAGAGTAAACAAATGATGTTGGCATGTCAAAAATGAATTTTATCATGTTTTGGGAAAGAGTTGTCTGCGTAGAAGATTTGGTGTTCAATAAATAAAACCAGAACTATAAAAAATATGCTCAAAAGAATTCACAAATAAAAAATGTATTTAACTTGATCAGAGAAGAATAAGTGAATAATCAATAGAAGTGCTGAACATTAAGGCCCAAATCCAAACCACAGCCTACCCACTCCCACTCCGTGGCAGGGTGACACTTGCAGTTTAAGGAGGCTCCCTTCTTTCAGAATGAGAGGGTAAATACAGCGACAAGCAAGAAGAGGAAACAGGAAATGCTGTAACTTTTCATAACAATGGTTTCAAATCATCAATAACAAATAATAACTAATGTCAGGGAATAATTCTGTATACATGTTTACCTTTTGCCCTCTGACGCAGATGCCCAACCTTAGACAGCCGCTATCTCCCTTAAGGAGGGGCTGCCCTAGCATTTTGTTGTTGTTACCAGTTTATGACTGGGCAACTTCGGTCAGAGATAGTTATTGTTTTGGGACACCTGGAACACATCCTTCTCGGGGTGTTGATGACCCGAGCCATAAGTGACGACAAATGGGATTCAGTTTGTGTTAGTCTATCGTATCTATTGAAGAATGTTGACTATTACACTCTGAACTAGTTAGAACCTCGAGCTACAGGAGGGTTCTTCAGAATTGATGTGGCATCTCAACCGTGTGGTCAGACCACGCGTGGCCCGTGACATGTCTTGTGAATTCTCCGGCCGAAGCTCCAAATAAACCGTCAGTGTTTGCTATCAAAGCTCCAGCTCTCCTCGTGTCTCTCCGAGTCCTGTTTCCATTTGCTTCAGAAGTTTCCCCCACAAATTGGCGTTGTCGGCAGGATACCAACAAATCTTCAGAACTGGTAAGTGTCATTTCAAATCCACATTTGGACATTGCCTTACCAGAATCTATGATTGACGGTATCCTAAAATTACCTGTGAAACTGAGCGGCTGTGTTTCGTTTTTGGTTAATGAACATCTGAGGCTTGGAACGCCCAGGGAATCAGTGTCTGGGGACTTTGTCCTGGCTGATTTTCTCTGTGTATGCTGCTCGGGACGGAAGTTCCATACAAGCATACACAGCTCATGTTCGGAGAAACCTTAAAGAAAGGCATCAGTAAAGTGGAACTTCTGTGTGAAAGAAATGTAAAGATTTGTATTGGACAAATTGCCAACACAAGCAGTGTTACATGCTACAGCAGTGAGCAGCAGAGGTGGGGAGAGGCGGGGCTATGGCTTCATCGTTATCAGGAAATGATTGTATAGGACGAACACACTGAGCCGTTTGGCCCCCCAGAGCGTTCCGTCCACAGATCTATCCACCTTGGGACCCGTTATCGTTTTAGGGGTCTGTTTCCGAGGTTCCGTTACGGCCTTGTGTGAACGAACGGGCTATACGAAAGACAAAAGTAGCGGATACAACCCGTTTCGTTCCCGTGTAAACAGCATCTTAGACCACGCCAGACAGAAGCAGAGTCGTTTGCTGAGAGCTGGAGTTTCTCAGAGTATTGTCGTTTAGTATCTCTCACTGCCTTGCTAAAGACGTACTTCGACTCTCTAAAGCGTGCTTTATCGCCACTCCTAAACGCCTCCTCCTTTTGCAGTCTTAGCAGTTTCAGTTTAGGTGTGAAGTGAACCAGGGCTTGTTGTTGTTGTTGTTGAAACTCACCCTAGTGCGTGTTGGTACACAGCTGTCCTCGCAGAAGCTGATGATGTATGATCATATATATCACATAAGTATGATGTCACAGCCTCTGTATATTCATCCAGACTTTGAGTAGCAGTCCTAAAAATGTCCCAGTCAGTACAGTCCAAATGAGAGAGGATTATTCTCTTCACCTTTCTGCTCGGGGGGCTCAAGCAGACAACCCTGCAGGACGAGCGAGGGTTTCAGAGGCTTCTATAATACAAGGTTCCATGTTTCTTGGAGCAGTTTGATGTCTTCCTAACCTCTCCCATCACGGGGGGGGACACCTGGATGCATCACTAGGAATACGCAGTTGCACTGCTCTCAAGCAGATAGCAGGGGTCAATTACACAGCCACAGGATTTAGACCGATAAAAAAAAAAGAAAAAAAAAAAAAGCAGATAGCAAAAGGAATGCAGGCAGATGAGCCTCCGTTTCACTGGGGGATCAGCTACAGTGCTCACTGAATGAGCCACAAAAGCAGAGCAATTGGGGGGGTGAAATATGGCGCTCTGATGAAGAAGAGTTTGAGTCAATCAGCACCTCAGTGCTAATCTACAGTATCAGGATTCCTTTACACACCAGACATTCTGTGTCATAAAGGGAGGAAGACTGACGGACATGTTCTTCCAGCTCTCGTACAAAGATGAACTTTGAATTGAATGACCAGATGTTTACAGATGTACAATTAATGATTGTTTTTATATTTCCAATTACCAGACATGTGTTAAATAGTGGTGATTCATATATTTTTGTCAGATCAGATTACACTTTCGCACTAAACAAAATAAATAAATAAATATTCTCAGATGATAAGGTATTGAATAATAAGGTATTCCTAATATTATAACAGTTAATGTTAATATCCTTAATCATCCAGCAATCAGGCTTAACAACACTACACCCATGCACAGACAGACCTAAAATGGTGTTTCAAGTACTGGATTAATTTCAGTTTTGGACCAAAACAAATATTTATAATAATTCATATAACAATTACGTAGCATATTTGATCCTCAAATTAGAGAAGTATAATTTAAAGAAATTGATATTCTATATTCAACATTAGATAAACACAGAAGAACCCTTTCCAAGTACCATAAGTAGATGTTCAGGTAAGCATAGCTAATAAGAATAATTGATAGACTTAATTTGGTACAGATCAGTGGTAGCATTTACTAATGTATGAATTAAAGTTTTAGGAATGCTTAATCCTTCCTTTCCAGGTTTTTACAAAAGTCTTTGAATATTTGCCTAACTTTTCCTTTTCAGATTGTTAAACATTTTGAGAATTGTTTCCCTTCAGATTTTGAAATGACATAAGGATTGTAATTATAATATATAATATTATATATATATTATATATTATATAATGTAATTATGTTATCATGCCATCGTCTTTTGATTTAATATTTAATGAAGCTAATGTAAATATAATCCTAAATTGAAGACACTGCAATGTTGCAGATTACAGATTGATTAGATCACCAGTGTGAATTTGTATACCTTAGCTGGATCTCTCATGATCCTGATTTTTAAATGCTTTGACTAGTGTTTGCCTTGAAGTAAATCTTTAAACTGCAAGCTGGTTTTGATTTTATAGTTTGATAAGTGAGATTAACTAATGATTAAATGTTAAAACATATTAGTTTAAAAATTGTTTTTGCTATTATGTATCTGTGATTTTATGTGTTCATTATTATGCTTTTGACAAAAAGATGCGCCAAACACTGGCGAGAGATGATTTTTCTATTGTGTCTCAATCATTGTGATTGAATGTTTCAATCTTATTATGTTGTTATTGATGTGATTGTTATTGATGTAATTGATGTTGTGTAAGTCCACACTCAAATCTGAAGATTCCCATTAATTTAAGAATTGAAAAATTATTATTAAATTAAGGTTTTAGGTTATCAAAATTGATAAAAAGAGAGTCACTGTCAGGGAATAACTCTGTATACATGTTTACCTTTTGCCCTCTGACCCAGATGCCCAACCTTGGACAGCCGCTATCTCCCTTAAGGAGGGGCTGCCCAAGCATTTTGTTATTGTTGTGGGACACCTGGAACACATCCTTCTTGGGGTGTGAGATGACCCGAGCTATAAGCGACAACAAATTTGATTCAGTTTCACCAGCTGTTCTACTGAAGAATGTTGATTATTACACTCTGAACTAGTTAAAACCTCGAACTACAGGAGGGTTTTTCAGAATTGATGTGGCATCTCAACCGTGACATGTCTTGTGAATTCTCCGGCCGAAGCTCCAAATAAACCGTCAGTGTTTGCCATCAAAGCTCCAGCTCTCCTCGTGTCTCTTTGAGTCCTGACTCCAATTGCTTCAGAAGTTTCCCCCACAACTAACATTAAACTCCAAACATTTTTAATGGTCTTTTTTGTTGAACTCGTTTTGTTTTAAAATCTAATGTTCGTATTCTGCTTAGTTTGTGCAAAAGTCCCTGTGAATATACAAAACTTGTGTAAGCCACACATTTACCATTTTTTGTAGACTAAACACGGGCATATGATCCTAAGTTTATAAAAAAAACGATAAAAAAAAAAATACTATTAACATCTGTTTGTCGATATTAAATGTCTATCTTGTTTTGCAGTATATCAGTAAATGTTTGCACGGAAATATTTGTAAGAAGTGTGTTTCATGACACACACACACACACCCACACATACACAGCATTGAGTCGGTCAGGTAGTGCAGCAGGTGAAGTCAGGTGCCATGCAGACTCGCTGTTAGAGGGCTCCATAACCCACTACCACTCAGGTAGGTTGTAGGGGGCGGTTTGGAATTGGGCCCTAAGTGTTTTACCTCGTACAGCTTGTCCATTATCTCCTCCAAATGCTTGATTTTGCTCTGCAGGGAGTCGACCTGCTGTCTCCGGGCGGTGATCTCTTTCTGCATGTCCAGGGCTACTTGGAGGCCTAAAGTGGAGACAAACCCAGAGGACAGAAGGAGAGCGGGGAAGTGATCAAGCTAGGTAGGAAGTACATCATGCACATATAATCTCAGAACATATAATCAATCACAGAACTTTAATTTTGGCCATGTGTTAGTAGTTACAGGATTATACCTCAGAGTGGAATACCGCAGAGAAGGTTATATAATAATGTTGCAATTTAATCAAATATTTAATTAAATGTTTTGTGCAAGAATCAGACTGTTATCTCGTTACTTCATCACAGACAGAGTTAAATCAGAGGATGTTTCTTCTTTATACATGAGATCTTTTAATGAAGTCTCAGATGAAATGATGTCATGTATCTAACCGTGTCCCTCAGCTCCTTCCAGCGTCCTCAGGGTGCTCCCGACCTGGTCCCGCTCGTCCCGGGCTTTCCGGAGCTGACTCTGAAGCTTCAGCACCGCGCCCTCCTGCTCCTCACTCCTGCAGCTGTGGAGCTGCTGCAGCTCCATGTGCTCCTCTGAAACCAAGCCCGCACAAACACACAAATCACATCCACTGAGAGAAATCCACTTTAACGCACACAATGATAGAAGGGCTTGTTTGACAATGAAAACATACCAAACATGGTTCTTTGTTTTTTTTAACACAGCAGGACAAGAGGATCATTTGATTTGGCAGAAAACTGTGAGAGCTGAAGTCTTTCTAGAAACGGCCCTGTGTAATTCCTGGTCAATGAAAATGTGTGGTAACACTAGACTGCAATCCAGATGTAACATTAATATATTAAAGTCCACATGAAATATAATACCGTGATAGTATTTTACCATCCAGGATGACTACCAATTAACAATGTCATTTTAAAAAGGTGAAAACTAATAATGTTATTATCTTCTGTACAATATATCGTAGTTCGAAAATAAGTTTGATAAAGGGTCAAGTTCCAGATCTGATTACAATTAAAGATGGAGCTTTATTTGAGTACTTATAATAACAAAAAATAATGTTATGCGTTTATGTCTGTGAAGAACTTTGTTGGCTATATGAGTAAATAACATTAATGTCCAAAGCATGTTAGACAAAAGCCTCATAACGCACAATGTATAGCAGACAAACGAGGTTCACATTTTTTTTGAACTGTAAATGTAGAATTCTGTTGCAATATGACCTTTATATGTGAGTTTATTTAAGGCTGTATGCATACATTTATTTAATTGTTAAAAACTGCTGGGACACTTTATGTATTGTATAACTTGCTGGTCGGTTACCGGCATGTCAGTTTGTTCACGATGTGACCGAACAATCCCAGGAAGACATGTAAGCTGCATGTATGAAAACTATTCATTTATTAATTTAGTGGGAAATGAAGTTATATTTCTTGTCTAAATGATGGATATTGATCTTGTTTGTGGTTGATGATACTCCTTTAGTAAAGTTAAACTCACGAGTGAGGCTGAGTAACTGCATGCGCAGCAGCTCCAGCTGGATGTTGAGCTGCTTTTTCTCAAGACTTTCCTCCTGGACACGCTGCCTTTGTTCAGCCACAGAGGCTTGTAGCTGGCGCCGCTCGTGCTCTGCAGCAGCATCGGCTGACTTGTGCCAGTCTAACTCTGCCTAAATAAGCATATAGAAAGGAGGAGAGACAGAGAGCGTCAGGTAAGTTATGAAGTTTGGTGGGGGAAGGCTTGATAAGATGTGATAAGGAAAAGCTTCCTTAAGAGATCTCATCCTATTTGAATAAAGTTTCCCTCCTCTCTCCTGACCCTGAGCTGCTGAATCTCCATCTTGAGCTGGTTGCTGAGGAGGCTGTTCTCCTGGTGAAGGTCGTGGATAGTGCGGCCATGCTGCACTGTCATCTGTACGCTGCTCTCTAGCAGCTTCAGCCTCAGTGTCTCTCCTTCTGCCTGCAGGGCCTGGCCTCTGCTTTGGGCCTCCTCCAACCTGGCAAGATGCTGGAGAAATAAAGTTTCAGATTAATGAGACTACAAATTAGGCACAGGTTACTAGATCATGTTGTAAAAACCATATAGACTCATAATGCTTGATCTCCTCTAGAACATTACGAGCTGTGCTTCTCGCTGTCTGAGCTGGAGGTCTTTGTGTTTCTCCTCCAGGAGTTTCTGGGATGTCCTCCCCTCCTCCCCGGCCGCCTCCAGCTGTCCTCTCAGGGCCTCCACCTCCTCCTGGAGCTCCCACTGCTGCTGCAAACCACACCTCTGTACAGGATGAAGCAGGAGACATAGTGGGATGATTGTAAACGACCAAAAACAATAATCTTTTGACAGTGGGATGAAATATGATCTCACTGAAAGGGAGAGAAACTGGCTTGAAATGACATCTTATTTCGTAAGTGCTTTCTTCAATTCTAAAGTTGTATAATAAAATATTTAATTTACAATATTCTAAGTGTTTTGATGATGGGAAGTTCACCTGACACCTGCACTTTAAAGCGTTTTATTCAATGAACACAACACAGGTATCTGTATTAGGACTTTCAGTTTTATAACAATAGAAAAGAGATAGAATGCTAAAAAATCACCTTCCGTTGGCCAAGCTGTAAAGATCGCTCTCTCTCACTCTGGGCGTCCATCAGCTGCGACTGAGCCTGAATGAGCTGCTGCTCCAGATGACAAATCTACAATGTCACAAATCAAATTTCATTTTAGTTTTCATTCTGGTATAGGAGGTAGAATCAGTGCTACTTTTCCATATTGTGTTTGTCTAATCTCCAAACCAAGGTGGATCCATATGGCTGGTTAATAATAACTTGTATCAGCCTCATTATCTCTTTGCGTAAATTATTGCTCATCATCTTACTGTACATTCTTCCTTACCTGATCTTTGTGGCTGCAGAGGGCTGACTCCAGTTCACTGATCTGACCCTGGTGCAGTGATGTCTGTCCCTCTGCAAGTTTCCTGGGTAGAAGGTATGTATTATTTATTTGACACATATACATTAATTCAGAAAATGTATCATTGTCTGATCATTTATTTAAATAGAATGAAAACGTCACTGATAAAACAGCCACACAAGGATTTTGGAAAGATACTTACTTTAGCAGCTCTAACTTGACATTCAGGCTGATGCTGTTGTTTTTTGATGAGGTCAGTTTGTCAGTCAACAGCGCCATCTCCTGGCCAAGACTAGATATCAGGCCTTCCATTCTAGGACAGAGAAATGTGAACAATGCGGTCACATTCTATTTATAAAATACAATGCTACTCCATTTTCTGTCTCAATCCATACACTGCAGTTCTCCTTTAAATTACCTTTCTTTTTGCTTATTTACTCCACTGCGTCCCTCACTCCCCAGATGGTTAATTGACTGCCAATAACAGAAGAAAATATATTTCAGACATAATAGGAGAAAATATGTGAGTCGAAACATAAAGTAAACTGAACGTGACCTGTAGATGACTTCTATTACTTACCAAAAAAAGTCTTTCCTGTTGCTCCTCTGTCTCATCATTAAACATATCAGTAAACCGAGCAGCCGGTGTTGAACTTGTATGGAAGTTAGGACTGCTGATTGCATTGTCCCCACGTTGTGTCTCCTGATATAACAGTGAGTACATCTGCTCTACATTTTGTTCCAATGCCTCTACTTTTCTGTTAAGTGCCAACGTCTCATCTTCCGTCTCAAGTAGCTCTTGGTCCTTGGTCCTTTTGATGTTTTGGATCTCTTCCAACATGAACAGCATCTTTTCCATCTGACCAACGTGTGTCCTTGAATCCTTCAATCTAAAAATAAAAAAGGTCTGTGGGTCAAAGCAATTTAAACACTTATTTAGAGGAGTAAAACTTGATCAGTGTCTTTACCTGATGTCAGACAGGCCGTCCTTCTCCTGCTGGACTTTGTTCAACTTAGTCTGCAGGTTCACGATGGCTTTGTCAAACCTGAACGTCTCTTGTTCTGGTTCATCGTGCATCTGTGTTTGAGAGGGTCAAATAATACATTATACAGGGAAAGCAGTACCAATAATGAATTCAGACCACATCAAACAATTATGATTCATGGCTGAAAGAAAATGATGAACCTTGTTGAGCTGCAGGTCAGACAGCTGTTGAAGAGAATTATCTATTGTATTTTCCAACACCTTCTTTCCAGGAGAGCTGATATCCGTTTGGTTTAAAATATCCAGATCACAGACCAGTGGCTGAATCACTGCCTGCTGCTGAGTTGAAAGAATAGAGGAACCTCCATCGTCTGCCAAAAAATCAAAAGATGTTTAAAATAAACACTGTATGTTGTGAAAGTTAAGGGCTGGTAAAACATGCGTTTGTGATACAACAGGGATATGTGCTGGGCTCTTGGCTTATGTTTCATACTTTTTTTTATAAATACTATGCTTTCAAATGTTTTTTATGCACACATTTGTATATCTAGTAGGAGGATTTATTTTAGATGAACCTCCAGCTTTACCAAATTGAGTGGTTTTTATTGTGTTGTGAAAGAAATAAGCCCTTGCTTAACACATTATTTGTTCATCTTTTTGGCTGCTGACACATAAGCAAAATGTTGTGTGACGCTGCTTGCACTCACACTCATTAAACCTGTAGTTGTGGTTGCTCCTTCCTGGTGAGCTGTGGATGCCAAATGTGCAGCCAAATCTCTCCAAAGTTTCTTTGGTTGCGGTTTCCACCTCTTCCTGAAGCCTCTGGGTTTCTTTGGTGCGCCTTTCAAGCTCCTCACTGTAAAACAAACAAATCAAATCTGAGTTTATAAAGCCCAATATCACAAAACACATTTGTTGCAGTGGACTTTACAGATTGACAAACATAGATGACAGTGTTAAAAGATAAATAAAATTACAAGAAAAATATTTTTTTTAAAACTAGATAGAACTTGAAATACAAATAAAATTGATAAATAATAAAACGAGATCAAATACAATAAAACTATCAAATGTAAGACTCAGGAGGAAAAACATAGGGTAATCTTAGACGTCTCTAACTATAGGCTTTATTAAAAATGAGGGTCTTCAACACACTCTTAACATTTTGGACACTGTCTGCCTCCCTAATAAAAACAGGAAGTTGGTTCCAGAGAAAGGGAGCTGAACACTCTGACTCCTGATCAAGTTTTGCGGACTCTGGGAACCACTAGAGCTGCACTCTTGGGGCATAGGGCCCTAGAGGGGACTTAAAGGTATCATTAACCAGGATATATGGAGAGTATTACTCGTAGTGATGCCATACCACTGTGGAAACTTCTTTTAAATGCCATGAAGACAAAAATAAGAAAGACTTCTCAAGGTCAGGTCAGAGTTAAAGTATTATTAGTAAAGTGAGAGGTTGTGTAACATCACCCCAGGTCTGGCGAGACGAGGTTAACATTCTTTTTATATACAATTATTTGTACATACAACTATTTTTATATACAACTCTCAGGACATAGTTCCCAACCTGTTGAACGAGCATTTGTTTTTGCAAGGGTCAGGGCTTATTTAAAACAGTAAATGTTCAAAACAACAAATAGAGCCAGAAATCTAGGTGTAGTCATGGACTCTGACCTGAGTTTCAACAGTCACATTAAAACAGTTACTAAATCAGCCTACTATCACCTAAAGAATATATCTAGGATTAAAAGACTAATGTCACAGCAGGATTTGGAAAAACTTGTCCATGCTTTTATCTTCAGTAGACTCGACTACTGTAATGGTGTCTTCACAGGTCTCACTACAAAATCTATTAGGAAGCTGCAGCTAATTCAGAACGCTGCTGCTCGAGTCCTCACTAACACTAAGAAAGTGGATCACATCACTCTTGTTCTGAAGTCTTTACACTGGCTTCCTGTGTGTCAAAGAATAGATTTCAAAATACTGCTGCTGGTTTATAAAGCACTGAATGGTTTAGGCCCAAAATACATTTCTGACCTCCTGCTAAATTATGAACCATCCAGATCTCTCAGGTCTTCAGGCACTGGTCAGCTTTCTGTCCCCAGAGTCAGAACTAAACATGGAGAAGCAGCGTTCAGTTATTATGCTCAAAGCTGCGCTGCGAGGGGGACCCAAGTTCCCATCGGCAAAAACATGTGGGTTTGCTGTCCTGGCTCCAAGATGGTGGAATGAGCTCCCCATTGACATCAGGACGGCAGATAGCTTGCACATCTTCCGGCGCAAACTGAAAACTCATCTCTTTCGACTCCACTTCGAGCGATAGAACTATTAACGAAGCACTTTTATACTAATAAAGGACTGGCTTACCTAAAGCCAGTTGAGTAGCACTTGAAATGTTTGGCTCTATGAAACCTGATGTACTTATATGATTCTGTTTTCTTCAAGGTTGTGTCTTCCTGGTCGAATGTACTTATTGTAAGTCGCTTTGGATAAAAGCGTCAGCTAAATGCAATGTACTGTAATGTAATGTAATGCTCCAAATATCTGGAACAAACTCCCAGAAACCTGCAGGTCCGCTGCAACTCTGACTACTTGTAAATCCAGGCTGAAGACTTTTCTTTTTGTCGCTGCTTTTAATTGAACTATTCATATCTTAGACTGCACTGTAACTTTTATCCATGTATTTTTTCTTTTAATGTTTATTTTATTATCTTTTCTTTTTAATGACTGATTTTAAATGCCATTTTCTTAATGTCTTTGGTTTTTTGTAAAGCACTTTGAATTGCCTTGTGTTGAAAGGTGCTATATAAATAAACTTGCCTTGCCTTGCCTAAATGGTGTGTTGATCCGATTTCAAAAGGCAATTTTATAAAAATTGGTAAGAAAATCAATGTTCACACCAGCACTTTCTCTTTTAATACATAAACATATCTTTATTTCACAGCTCAACAGTACATCTTCAATGAAATATCAATTGAGTCATCACTTGGTTTTAGTGTTATTTACAGTAAATGCTTCAATGCAGATTTATTTTTGTTAAGTTTAAATGATTTGTTTTAGTTTTATTTTTGACTACATGTTATGGCGCATTTGTTGTGAGCAGTGGCTGCTCATGAGTTGGTATTGAGGTTAACATAAAATAGGCTGATGGCTACAAAACAGGAGCTATGTTTAGTATTTAGGCACAATGGTTGTAACTACCTCAGTTCATCCAGATTCAAGCTGTTACATCTCAGCCGACGAGGGGCGTCACGGGTCTCTGTAGAGGAAGTTAAACAAATTACTTTAGGAACTGAACTACTCAAAACAAGTTCACAAAACTGGAGGTTTAGCAAGTAAGCCAACATAGATTTCACTGGCTTTAGCTTGTTTACTGTAACTTACCAGCTGTCCCTGATGGGTTAACGCTTTGTACAACTTTAGCGCCATTATTGCAAGAAAGTCGAATACTCTGAGGGTCGGGGGTCTGAAACCCTGATGACATCTCTTTTCACAATCTCCTCAAAGCTAACATCAACAGCTAGCTAGACAGTGCGTTATCGTTAAGCTATGTTCCATCACCATGGAAACTACATCAGTGGCTAACTACTAGCTAGCTTTATGCTATTGATAATTTGCTGTATCGTGTTGGCGTTAAACCCAAACGTAGTTAACATTGTTTGGCTGTCTATGTTAGTCTTGTATTCCGTTAGGTTAACCTGAAGCTGAAATGATTAGCAAAAGTAACGTTAGCGCCGACACTTTGAAACATTCCGTCAACATCCGCTTCCCCCCACCCCACGTTGTGACGCAAACGTGCACCGGAAAGGCGTTTCCAGCAATGGATGATGGTCATTGTAGTTTATCAGCAGATCAGCAGTTGTTTGTTTATTCAGGGCGGACCCTCTCTTTTCTGCAGGGATTCAGGGATCGTTTCTTTTAACGTTCACTGCATTGCATCAAGATGGAAGCATGAAGTATTAAGAGGTGCAATTCAGTTGCATCACTTTTATTACCCTGCACGTCTGCGGCTTCTGGGCAAGGTAAGACGACGGTTTGTTGATTTTCGCTAGCAAGCTAGCTTAGGTAATATTGACATATTTTGTGTTAGACGCATTGAGCGTTTTGGTATTTACAAGTGAACAGCCTTATTCTATTCATTCAGCCTTTTCTGAAATGTGTAACAGTGACCCGTTATGATTGACCTGTTCGTGTTGTTTAGCAGACATCTACATTTAATCCAAACTATTGTCAACATTGCTTTTACGACGCTTTTTCGACGCGTATTCCCAATGCAGTAATCAAACCAACCCTCTTATAATACAACAACAACAACAACCATGTTATGATCAGGAATGTGTTGTTTTTGGGCGGTTTGGCGAAAATCTTCCAGTGACACCTGACACCAAGTAGGTGTGGTTTAGGACAGGGGTTCCCAAACGTTGCCATGCCAAGGACCCCATATAGAGCTTAGCGAACCGCAGTGACGCGTCCTAAAACCCGGATGTAAACTCCTTCCGGTTCCTTCGTCAAAAACGCAATGCAATTTCTCCATAGGATTTTGGAAAATAGCTCGAAATAAGGTCTGTGGTTGACACACATGTAAGAGACGGATCACGTTTTGTTCAGCCGGATAATCTCCACATGCCTATCCTACTTTTATAATTTTTGAATCATAAATCTAGTCGCCAGAAGCAAAATGCTAACGTTATGCTATAAACGAACTACAAAAAAGTACAGCAGCAGGGTCACACGACTTCAACGTCACGCCAACTTTAGATCGTTTCAACTGACTTTCGCGCGCTTGCATATTTTAACAAAGCTTTTCATTTGAGCCACACTGAATTTCACTAGAAATCATGGCTGTGTCAATTACCAGTCTGATATCATTTTACAAAGATGACAAGAAGAGTGTAGATAGAGGAGAGAACCACTACAAGTCAGGACACGTACAGTAGTGCAGCCTAGATGAAGGTGTGCTTACCGGTGTTGTCAGGGCTAGCATGAGAGACAAGGTTTATAGAGTGTCGGTGAGTAGTGATAGCAAGAGTACCGTTAACCTAGAGTTCATTTATTCACATTAATTCCCATCAACAAATCCGTTTTATGTGTCACATGAAATCTTTATTACAAATATTACACACCAGAAAACACAGAAATATCCATGAAATAAACATACAGTATAGGCTATAAACAATTAAAGGGATAATTGGGAAGGCATTACAAATGTAAATATATTTTAAATAATAAAACAATCCCACCACCACAGGTATCTACAGGAGAAGAGGGAATTCTCTCCACAAAATGTGAATGCCCATGTGGAGAATGGAAATGCAGTCATGCAGCTGCATTAGCCATCTTTGCCATCCACAATTTCAGCTGCACTGACACCCCCTGTCAGTGGAAGAAGCCAAAGGCAGCTAAACGTACGCATTCAGTGGAGGAGCTATTTCCTCCAACCAATAACTAATTCAACCCGCTGACAAGAGAGCCCACCTCCGAAGATCGTGAATGGCTGAGGGACAGACTCAGGGGCAGGTTCTCAGGGATTTATTGGCTTCTCTCCCCCGAGCCAGAAGAGGAACACTACAACTTGGAAACACTTACTGTTCCTGAAATTATCAAATCTGTTGGGCATCAGGGACGTGAGGCAATTGTGGCAAGCATGGCATTGTCTGAGGAGCAACAGAGGGCAATTCAGGTGGCTACCACTGGTCAGCGAACCAACCCAAACTGGCATTTGTTCAGGAAAGGAAGGTTGACTGCCAGCAACTTTGGAGCTGTCCTGAGGTCAAAGCGTGTGACTGATTCCCTTATTGCCAGGGTGCTAGGGCAACAACAGGCCCTTGATGGTGTTTTGTCTGTACAGTGGGGGACAATGAATGAATGTAAGGGCGTCAGGGCATTCACCACTGCAACCCAGATGCAGGTCCATGAGTCAGGTTTGTGGCTCTCCCAATCAGGAGTGTTGGGGGCATCTCCAGATGGTCTGGTAGGGTCTTCCGCTGTGCTGGAGGTAAAGTGTCCCTACGGAGCCAGGGAAATGAAAATTAGTGAAGCATTGCAAATCAAGGGCTTCTGTGTCAGTAAGGAGGGAGAAACATTCAGCCTGCGTGAGGAACATCCTTACTGGCACCAAGTGCAAGGTCAGCTTCACCTCACTGCGAGAGACTTGCTACTTTGTGGTCTGGACTACGAAAGACAGTGTCATCATTCCGATAGCCCGAGATGACAATTGGCAGCCTAACCTGTTGGCTCTTGAGGACTTTTTCAAGGCCCACATGCTTCCAAAGCTGGCACTGCCGGAATAATCACCTTTGTCACTGTTGTGGTTATTTTCTGAAAAAGACAGAAAAACAAAAAGGCATATTAATTGACTTGTTCTGAGTAAAATAAAATATTTTTTTTTTAGAGAAAACTCATCTTCAGGATGTTATGGTTCCCCTTTGAAAATCTTTCTTGTAGCTGCTGCGATCCTTGTTTGAGTCGTTCATATGTTCGATGAAAAACATCATAAATCTATCATTTTCAAATATAGTAATTTTAAGAAATTGTGAATCGTTTTTAATTTACATTTACTCACCTTTGCAATGTTGTGGTTGTTAGAGTGTTAGGTTTCTGACTACAGAGAATAACATATTTACAAAATAATATTTCTTAATAAAAAAAGGCAGTCCATGCAGAAAACTATTGTGGTTTCTTGATTCAAGCCTGCCTCTGAATCCCAAATCACAAACCATTCTTTGGAGTAACGTTTTTGATAGAGAAAGACAGAAAACAAACATGAGCCTACCCGAGAGGCCAGACTTTTCAAGGTAAAAAGACAGTTTAAAGATTTATATTTGCAGATATTATCAGCACATCTGAGTCAAATTAACATGTGTATTAAACAGAACTTAAATAAAAGAAATAAAATGCACCCAGTTTAAATACATTGTTTGAGTTTAATGATGAACTCAAAATGTAAAACAAAGTATGAAACATGTTTCTGGATTGATTAAACAGCAGAATCTAAATAAAAGAAATAAAATGCACCCAATGAAAAGACAGTTTGAGTGTAATGATGAACTCAAAATGTAAAACAAAGTATAATAATAATACATTTTATTTATATAGTGCTTTTCTACAAAGACGCTTTACAGTATGAAGGATAGGCAAACAAATAAATATAGTAAAATAAAAGAAACAGAAAAGTCAGTCAAGAGGAAGTTGATTGAGAGGGGGGGGAGGGGGGCTTACAGAGTTGAAAAGATGTGTATGAAACATATGTGTTTACATGTGAAAAGACACTATTTTTCTGCCACCTCTTTTATGAGGACGTTGGAAGTTCACTAGTGCGCAACATACCTGCACCAGTTTATCTGCGAAGTGCCTCAGGTGAGATGGAATTAACTTTAGGATCCTAAATTCTTTCAAACGAGCATTTGCTCTCTCGACGTGAATCCTATTTTGTGCGATAAGCTTTGTAGCCTGTACTTCGCTGTGTGTCAGTTGGCCATGACAGAGGAATGGGGAATGTTGACAGTGACTCCTTCAGGAAGAATGTTCTGGATTAAGAATCCCTTGTCAGCCAATATCAGATCTCCAGGTTTGAAATGCTGAAGAACACCAGAATCCTGTACTATTTCTTTGTCACTTGTTGATCCTGGGTATAGTTTGCTGCAGTATGTGATCACAGCATTTGGTGCTACCCCCAGCAGTAGTTTGAAGGAGTGCATGCCACAGTAAGCAGAGTAGGTCTCTTTCTGGATATCCATTTGCTTGGGGATAGCAATTTTGATGTCCGTACAATCCACTATCATTCTGCAGTTTTGGATGTGCCGAAATGAAGAAGGCAAGCTGGTTTTATTTTTCTCCCGGCTGGGAACAGTACTCATTATGTCCTTAAAAAGTAATTTATGGAGAACCTCTATAAATGTTACAATCACATTTGCAGTGCAGTCAGATGAAGGTGTGTGTAATTATGACGCAGTTTCATGAGGGTCATGAAAACTTGGTCTTCAAGACTCAGTGATTTGGGGAACCAACCTTCTGGGTATGTAATGGAACCCTCAAAACGAGCAACATAGTCACACACAGCACTGAATGTGTCTATCTGGCAATCCTGTCTCCATCCGAAGAATGTTTTCCCTCAGCTGAGAGGCAGAATACTTGTCACGGCAGTAACTCTGCTTTGCCTTGGACTCCTCTAGCTGGATCTCTAGCTGCATTATGTGTCTTTGCTGAGATTGAAGTTTTTCTTCTACCGTGGTCGCTTGCTCCTCTGCATTCTCAGATAGTGGTTGAGGATCTTCATTAGCAGCCGCCTGTGTTGATGGACCTGCTTCCTCCTCAGTCATTAGACACGCAGCTTCTTCCTCCATTCCATCAATTATCCCTCTCAGACAGTAGGAATGCTCTTCTACATTCTGTGCTTTAAAAGGAAACAGGCCTTTTTCTCTTTTGTAAAAGAAAATGACAGCTGCAGATGCGGGAACAGGCATTGGGCTTCCTGTCAGCTCGTCTGTTGGGAAGATATAAAATATTAGTTTCATGGAAGTCACACCGTCACATATAAGAGCATTACAGTACATAGGCTAAAACAAAACATCTAAAGATATAACCTTGCACTTTGATAAGTCTCGTGAACATTTTCACTATTTTGACATTTGTATAGATCGATTGAACTAAAAGAAATAAATGGTAGATTAATCCATATTGAAAATAGGTGTCAGCTGCTACACTAATTATAATAGTTAGATTTCTTAATTAAGATAATATATTACTTTATTGATCCCAATTTGGGAAATGTTTGTGTTGCAGCAGCATAACAA